AAATAACACCATTGTGTCCACCGTCTCCTCTTTAACTCGTGCAAACAAACATAAAGATGCGAGCAGGAGTGTAAACACACAACTCGCGCGCTCTGCATGTGTGTTCCTCCTTGAGTCGTCAGCATGACGTCCTGACCTCAAAGAAACGTCCTGATTTGGTCGTTGTTGACCAAAGGTTTAGCATTGTGCAACTGCACACCTGGCGAGCTCTGCACAAGAGAGTAACGAAGACAACAAAGATTTTTAGCCATCATTGCATATTACAGCCATCTCTTTCAGAAATTATTGTGTGCGTCCACTTTCTTCCCCTGATGAACACAATTCACATCATTCAGAAGACTGCTTCCATATTAACCGTTCGGGGTAACATGATCTGTGTCGGGTATATTTTTGCAGTTCAAATGAGACCATCTTCTTTCTTTTTTTTCTTTCACCCCTGCCAGATCTCAGGGTTAAACTGACTGTAAGATCATCTAACAAGAAAGGTTTTTGTACATGGTCATTTCATTTACTTTAAAGATACTTTTAATATTCGCAATGACAAAAGAGGCTTCAGATTTGGGTAGGAATTAATGTTGGATTTTGCCCGCACGGTGGCCTGAATGTACTACTCTTTTCGATTGCAGAACCGACAATGGATCTTAAACGTGCGAAATTTCCACTCGGGAATTAAAAAATCGTCTGCACTTATCCAAGATGACTGAGTGCACCATTCTGCCTGGTCGCAACCCTGGCAGACGACTCAGTAATCAGTTACTGATGGAGACCATCACCATGAATACAATGAGATGGACCCTGTTGAGGAGGCGCTCACAACTGAATAAGGTCATTTGAGCGTCAGTTGGTAGGAAATCTTGAATTTTACCCGGGTGGCGACAGAAGCCTAATATATTATATCTTATCGATTTTGGACCACCAAGGGATCTTTAACTTTAACGTGCACAACTTACTCGTGTCCGAGAAGGCTTGGTGTTAGATCCAACCTACCCTAAGATCAGGTGTATGGCTGAAAGATAGTAGTAAGAAGGATCCAATGAGTAGCGGTACAAAGGCTGCAGAAAAAGTCAATTTTAGTTTTTTAGTAAAGAGTTTTACGGCACTTGCAACACAATAAGGTCATATAAGTGCCGAAGATTAGAGGTGTTACAAGGGAGTAACAACAAACATAAAAAAGAAGGAGGAGAGAAAAGGACGATAGCTGTTTAGAGGAAAGAAGGAGCAAACCACACCAGAGCACCCGCCAACCACCCACAGAAAAAGTCAGGAACCCAGAGGAGGGGGCAGAAAGTGGAGACGAAAGCAGTCGACAGAACATGATATGAGAGCAGGAAAGGAGATGAAAGGAGATAATTTTAGCGAAGAAATTGTTCCGTTGCTGTCTTTTTGTTTTAGTAAAGGTTTTACGGCGCTCGCTACTGCATAAGGTCATATGAGCGCCAAGGGGTGGATGTCAACAGAGAAGTCTTTACAGGGAATCAGACTTACTCCGCTCACCTCTCTAGCTTCAACAGCACAAAGTCTGCTTCCACTATCAAGGCACCCCGGAAATATCGGGTCACAAGAGTGTGACAAACATACAAAGGAAGTAGAGGAAATGACGATAGTAAGGATTAGAAAAGAAAAAGCAGCAATTCCCTGTTGTAGTTCAGGTAGAGTTATAGGAATGATATGGTTGGATAAGCGCATTTACAATTCTACTGTGCATTAGAACGAAAAATGTCCCACTTAAAACACTTCTGTCAGACGCATAGCCTCGGGGGTGCGTTGCTGTCAGGTTTCGAACCTGGAACCTATTGTATGAGAAGCGAACAACGAAACCTCTAGACCACGAGAGCTCCCCACCCACCTCTCAAAATCTTTTTTGTTTTGTCTTAGTAAAAGTTTTACGGCATTTGCAACACAATAATTTTAAAGGTCAATTTTGGTAAGTGTTTTACGGAGCTCGCAACTGCACTAGGTCATAATGAGCGTGCGGGAAATGTTAAACATTTTTAGTTAATAGAAAAATTTGAATTTTGCCTGGGTGGCGGTCGAAGCCTTCTCTTATCGATTTTAGACCACCAAGAGATATTTAACGTGCGCAAATTGCTCACGGAACCTCCGAGATTTTCCGCCCTTGTCCGAGAAGGCTCTGTGTAGATCTGTCCTACCAGAAGATCAGGGGTGTGGCTGTAAGATAGCAGTAAGAAGTGGCCAAGGAGAATCAGTAGAAAGGCTGCAGAAAGAGTCAGGGGCCCAGAGGAGGGAGAAAAGGAGGTGAGGGGGTGGGGGAAGACCGTGGAGATGAAAGCACACGACAGAAGATTGCTAGAGAGCAGGAAAGGAGGTGAAAGGAGAACATTTTAGTGAAGAAAATGTTTCAGTAGCTACCCGGATTCGAACCCGGACCTTTGAATGACACGTGAAAACCTTAATCTTTAAGCCACGAGAGCCCTTTATAATGTCATATAAGTGCCGAAGATTAGAGGTGTTACAAGAGACCAAAAAAAAAGGAGAGATCAGGACGATAGATGTTTGGTAGGAAAGAAGGATCAAACCACGCCAGAGCACCCGCCAACCACCCACTCAAAATCTGTTCAAATGCAGTTGTGCAGGTGACCAGAAAAGGACACCGCCTGTGGTTGAATTTTCTGAGTCATGCTGAACAAAGTAATGCCATTAAAGAAGTTATATCGTCACGCTCTGTCACATTTATTGTAGACTATATCCAGGGGCAGACAGACAAACAAACTTCAATATCTCTAACCCCCCC